CTGGATTTATATGGCAGCTTGCCATAATGCAAACACTTTTTTACATCTCCTCCTACACCGTAGCCCCGATTGCCACCAAATTTTCTCTGGATCATCTGTGGACTTAACATATATAAAGTTGTATAAAGCTTGTTAAAGGCTCCTTTCATTTTCAAGATATTGACCAATAAACATGTAAAGTGGCGTGTTGCAGGGCATAAATAGTGAGGGTGAGAGCAACACTAAGTCATCTGCATACAGCAGACCTCTGATCTCTGTGTCGTTCAGGAGGAGGCCAGGTGCCGTGGAACTCTCTAACTGGTTTGCTAATTCATTGATATATAAGTTGAAGAGAACTGGACTGAGATTGCATCCCTGCCTCACTCCCCGGCCCTGGGAGAAAAATGCTGTGTTTGTTTCCAATCTTTATGGCACATTAACTTTTTGTTCCCCCTGAATGAGAAACGCAGGAAGTTCCTCTGATGGAGGTGCTGGGGAAATGAAAATAAGCTCCACAGGCTGACGTGGGCCGATCGCCGGGAGGAACACGCTCCTGCACATGCTTAACGGTGAACATGTAAACGATCTCTTCACAGTCAGAAAATAATCCCAGCAGCAAGTGGGGGATGAACTCACAACCCTTGGACCGGGACTCCTGAGCACTGCTGACTGAGCTGAACTGGCCCGCCGCCTACTGACTTGAAAAACATTTGACCCGATGCCAGACTTATTTGATGTAGGGGGTCGGGGTCTTGCTCAAGGACACGTTGGTGGACGTGTCACCGGAGGATCGGCACCGTCGCCACCCCACCTGTCCGGCAGGCCAGAACAGGTGGGTTCACAACATTTAATACATCAGACTGAAGGAGTCAAACCTGACCCCGGGGTCCACAGGGCCCCACGGTGACCCTCGCATGCTATTTTCTCTACCGGAGTCTTCCCATGAAATCAAAGAGGAGGATTTTATACAAGCTGCGCTACAGGTGGCTTGTACGCCAGTCTCTGGCCCAGCAGGGACCTGAACGCTCTTCTGTATTCAGGATGGTATTTTAGAGTTTAAAATAATTCATTCATTTAACATCCAATGATCATAACATCCCAATTTTTAGGACGCCGCAGCAGCACAGTGTTTCTGGGGGCCGACCGGGCCCCACTGATAACTGTACAAAAACAACTACGTCCTCTGGTTTTGGTGAACGTGGATCAGATGTTCTGGTTCTCCCTCTGATGTCCTTTGGTTGCTCTGCCATTCAGTTTGCTGATGATGATCATTTACTTCAGCAACCAGCTAACTGCTGCTAGCTGCCGGACGAGCAGGCCACAAACCCTCACTCCTCAGCCTCCCAGTGAACGCAGCAAGTTTATTAGTGGACCAAATCCATGACAATCCCGAGTTGAGACCAGGAGGTAGAGTCTAGCACACTTCTCTGCTCCTCCATTTCAGGAGTTACCCAGTCAAAACCCCTTAGTGACGGTGTCTGCCCCCCCACCCCGACCACTGAAACAGTTTGCAGCTTTACCCCGTTGGAAAAGGCCTTTATCCCACAACCACGTGTGCTTTCACACAGCGGTCCGGCTGTACAGGAAGCAGCGGCGTGTCGCGGCATCGTTCCATCTTTCTGTCTCGTGTCTGTCACCAACTTTAATGCTCAGAGAAAGATAAAATCTGTTCCGTACCTTTCATAAAGCATGGCGCAATACCCGCGTGAAATAAGGCAGCGTGAAAGCTGCAAGAGCTAATCACAAGGAGTGTGTTTAGCTTTTAGCTAGCTAGTTGGCGGTGCAGTCTGATGGTCCTTCTGCTGCGTCGCCGCCTCCCGCTCAGACTAAAACACTGAAGTCTGACCTCGTTCTGGTTTTAAACTCCGGGGTGGCGTGTTAGTGCGGACAGGTGAAAAGGATGACGCAGACGCTCACGTTTGGCTTCCTGATTGGCTCTTATCAGAAGCACAGAACAGTTTTTGTTGAAGTATTTGTACTTGCACTGCATGTCAACGTATTTGCTTTGCGACGCCTGCAGTTCAAGGATCCTGAAAAATGATCACGTGTGGTTAAAAAGTACTGAAACAAAGTGAAACCATTTCAACACGTTTTATATTGAAACCACAAATAAAATGACATTTTTGTTTGCATAAACATTAAATTAATAACAGCCAATCCCTGCTTTTATATTACTGCATGTAAGTAATGCAGTGAGCCTCTGCATAATTACATGAGCACAGAAGAGCCTTTGGAAGACCGGGACAGTGAGCCAACAGCTGATGATCTGGGGATTAGAGCTGGCTTTTTGTGCCTCTGCCATGTTTTTTTTCCTTTGTCAGTTTTAACCGTTTGTCGTTAATATACGATCGGGAGTTTGCACAGGGTGTTTTATTTTGAAACTTGACCGATTCTCTGTGCCGTTTCTGCGTCTGACTTCCTGCCCGCTTCCGTCTAAAATAGACTGGCAGCTATGAGATATCTTGTTGTGATGTGGCGCTAAATAAATAAAATTGTATTGCTTCTGTTGCGAGCACAAGCACCGCTCAATGGGATGCGGTTAGCTCCGGACTCAGGACTTTGGCAGCGAATACGGGGTCATGTAAACTTGGTATAAATGACTTGGTAGCAGGTGGCCCCCGTGATGAAAGTCCGCCCCCGTTAGAGACTAAACTGTAACATGTTATCATAAGCGGCGAACAGAGTCTGCGACGCAACCGGCAGCAGAACGCGTTTCACCCCCATCCACATGTTCATGTCTCGGTCCTGCATGGAAAACCAGAACCCAGAGCGGTGGGCTCCCGTCAGACCTGAAACCAGAACCCCGTTTCTTCAGTTCCGGCCATCTGCCGAGCTGCTGGTCCTCTTTAGGTCCAGCAGAGACGGAGCGGGGAGGCGACAAGGTGTTTTTTTGTCCAAGCGTTTGCAGAAAGCGGACCAATCACAGCCTGGGTGGGGCGGGACAGGGTTAGGCTTTATTCTGCATGAATGGTTATTAATGTGAGAAACAAGTCAGGGAGGAACCGCCAGCATTTTATTTGTTTTGTAGACCACAGTACCGTAATGGCATTAATACTGGTGCAAAGCCATTTATGAGCGGCCTACCTGAACTCATAGTGAACACACGGTTCACACCTCATCAGGTGTGATCAAGGTCAGAAACGGTTTTATTTGTGAATCAGTTCATTTGCTGAATATCAACGAATATAAACCAAGCGTAACCTGCAAATATCCTGTGAGCCTGTAGGGGGGGGGGTCTCTGGTTTTAATGCGCAGAAACAAACACGGGGGGAAAAACTAAATCAGAACCTCTAAAATGTTTTAGGAGTTATGGCTCAGCTCACACCCTGCTTCACAGACCTGGTCAGGGTGGCTATGCCTTTGGTGTGAGAGACCCGGGTTCAATTCCCCACTGTGACCATTCACCATTGTGTCCCTGAGCAAGACACTTAACCCCTCGTTGCTCCAGAGGCGTGCGACCTCTGACATGTAAAGCAATTGGAAGTCGCTTTGGATAAAAGCGTCAGCTAAATATATAAATGGTCTGAGGTCCAAGAGGGTCCAACTGCAGCCCTCCACTGTCAGGCCGGTCAGGACAGGAAATACACGCAAAAACTTCAAAATAAAAGTGTGCGATTTGACAGGAAACACATTAAAAATTATAAAGTTTAATCACATGGGGGAGGGTTTTTTGGTTGATTTATATTGAATTATTTAGTCAACAATGTAACAGGATACTAGCAGGCTAATTCCTTAAATACAGCAGATTGATTTGAGCCTATTCTACTCAGCACTTAACGTGCCGATGTAGCAACAAAGCCGACTGTACATCGCTTCAATCATTCAACTAGTAACAGGCACTATTTATTTATTCTATCAAAATATGACCTTAACTCCGTCCACAGAAGAGCTCATTAAGAGCTCAGACCGTAACTAGAAACCTGCTGGACTATCAAGCTGTACAATCCGTAAAAATGAACACACATGCAATACAACATGTATACCTGTATCGACTTGTAAACATCCACTTTTTAAAAATGAATGAAGACAACAGCCTACTGTAATAATACTTTTCCTTTATTCACTGTACACACACAGAGATTACGCAGTTAGGACAGGAGCTGGCAGCAGGGACTGATCTGTATTCATGTTGCATCAAAATATCTACCACTTTCAGTATTTGTACATCTAAATCAGGCAAACAGCGGCTGTGCCGAGGAGGAGTTTCTTTATGTGGATAACAATCTGCACCAAAACAGCTGATTCAAACCATCAACTCCTTCTGAATCCTGAAGCTGCTTCAATCGGCTTTGAGGAAGCAGGGAGAGAGTAAATCATGCAGGACAGGGGCAACTTTCTGCAGGAGAGGGTTGGGGAACACTGTCGTAGTGCATAAACTTCAGTTCAACCAAGATCAATTCGTCCAGCCAGCAAAGTCTTTGCACGCTGTTAAAGTGTGAAAAGCTGCACCGAACGGTCTAAACGACATAGATACATTTTTTGGACAAATAACTAACCTGAGCGTCGTCAGCATGTTAAGACAATTGCAGACCTATGCGCTGCAAAAACGAGCACAGTAGCTTCATACAGTCTGAGTAGCTCACGTTATCCAAAGGGAGACAGCTAATCCTGCTACTGCAGGAGCTAACGCTAGCCGCCGTTAGCCTGACGTCACCTGTGCACAACAACAAGTATTCTGTAATTCAGTAACGTTTCACTAAGACAGCGGCGAGGCGAACAAACACCAGGAGCAACCAGGGTTCACTCGGTGTTTCGCATAACGCTAACCAGCTGCTGCCGCTGCCGCGATGTGCAGAGCAGCCTGACAGAGGGGGTCTGCAGCTGGACCCCTCTCCTGAGGTCCAGGGGACAGACCTGGTCACATCGGGGACTTCCAGAGGACCCGAGTCTGCTTTAAACCCTCGGGACCTGCTGGAGCCGCTAACGTTAGCTGCTAGCAGGCTAACACTCCTCCGTTGTATTCAGAGATAAACCGGAACCCGGCCGGGATTTAAAGCTGGCGCCTGACAGTAAACACTCACCTGAAGCCGCAGGTACCGGGTACCGGTACCGGTACCGGGAACAAGTCTCACAAGTTAAGAAAAAAGAACTCACGGTGCTCCACGGACACGACGCGTGCGCTCTGAGTAGCTTCCGGCTGTGCTTGCGTCATATTTGTGCGTCACATCATGGGAGAAGGGTCCAGCCGCTTTCCTCCCGGGGCCTCTCTGAAGCTAGGGGCCTCTCTGAAGCTAGGGGCCTCTCTGAAACTAGGGGCCTCTCTGAAGCTAGCGATGTGTCCAGTAACGCAGATTTTTGTGAAGCGCGTATCGAGGCTTGTGTTGATGACGTATGTGCTGACGACCGCACGTGACCGAATCAGGAGATGGTTTGCGGGTTTGGCGACGGACCCTCCTCAACATTTAGTGGACTTAATAAAACTGAACACGATTAGATTTTATCTACAGCTCATTTTAAATGACTAAAAAAGTTTATCAACTTATGTCAGAATTGCTTTGATCAAATAACTTCAAAAATTGTGATCAAGCAGAGGAAAAGAAAGTGCTGACATGTTTTTTACATTTTGCGGCTTTGGTTAAAATAGTTTGGATTAAATTCTTACCCCATATTACCGTAGTAAAGCAATTGAAATCTCCAAAAAAGAAAGGGCCTGAAGCCCAGCACTGTGGAAGTGTTATTTTTAAATAAAGATGAATAAAATGCTGTCTCTATTATCTAAAGTCACAAACCAAGTCATCGTAACCCTCTGCCTTGTTTCCACTTTCCTTTTGACCCTGTCATCGTATCATAAAGACAGACACCTTATTAAAAAGCTCATCATTTATTTATTCAGTCATAATCGCTCTGTTTTACATTTATTGTCCACTTGATGGCCCAGCAGAGCAAATGAAGCACCGTGAAGCTTCGGCCCGTCAGTGAACCAATTGGACGGAAGCTTCAATGCTTCATGAAGCTTCATCTCGCCATCACTATCTGAAACTAGTCCCCCGCCACTTCCACTCTGGTCGGAGTCCCCCTCCAGGCCAAATCCAGCTCCCTAACCCGCGTAGGGTTTAAACACAGCGGCCACCCTTCGGACAAACTACCCCCCTACCCCCCCACCCCCAGCGTAAACCGGATGTGACGTCGCCGCTGCACTCACTGCTGTAATGTGGATCAAATGTATTAAGATTCAGGACTGATGTTGAGGAAAAGTTTATTTTTTTACAATAACAGAACTGAAAGCTTTTGTTATTCATTCTGTGTTTGTGTCAAATATTTCTTTAAGACTGACTTTAGATATTTACAAAAAATAAATAATATATTCTTTTGTGAAAAGACTCATATTCATTGTAAAGAAAAATATATTTGAACCTCTTATCTGAAAAATATTACCTAACCTTATATTGAAGCATTAAATGGGCTGAAGAATTTCAACTGTATAATGACTGAACTTGTTACTAAAATCCTACATGTTAACCTGTGAAATGTTAGAGTAGTTTCTTTTCAGCACTGTAGCCAGGCTGACAGAGAGTCACAGCTCTATTGAGCCAAGTATTCCCATAGCTCTCAGTAGTTACGACTTCATGAGCTTCTTTAATGATAAAATTCTAACTATTAGAGACAAAATTCACCAAGACCTGCCCTCAACTGGCACCGACTTATCTCTAAACTCAGGAACCTTAGAAACAGCTGTAGAACCAGATATATGTTTAGACTGTTTTGCTTCCCTCAATCTTTACCAACTAACTTCCATTTCTCTCTAAGGTTCTGCAGAAAGCAGTTGCTAAACAGCTGTGTGACTTTCTACAGAGCAATAGTTTGTTTGAGGATTTTCAGTCAGGATTTAGAGCTCATCATAGCACAGAGACAGCACTGGACAGACCTCCTTATTGCATCAGACAAAGGAATTGTCTCTGTACTGGTTTTATTAGATCTTAGTGCTGCATTTGATACCATTGACCATCAGATCCTATTGCAGAGACTGGAACATTTCATTGGCATTAAAGGAACCGCTCTAAGCTGGTTTAAGTCCTATTTATCAGATCGATTTCAGTTTGTACATGTTAACGATGAGTCCTCCATGCACGCCAAAGTTACTCATGGAGTTCCTCAAGGATCTGTCCTCGGACCGATCCTCTTCACTTTATATATGCTTCCTTTAGGGAGATCGATTTGTGGCTCACAGGCTCGAGGAGCAACCCCGTCACTGATGGCGTGGCAGCATGAATCAGGATACTGATCATTTGAACTCTGACAGTGTCACATCTGCTGTGACACCAAAATCTATTAAGAAAAGAAAGGAATTTCCTTGTTGATTTCAAAACCTACAAATGTCACAAAACACATCTTGACGTTGATTTTAGTTTCTTTTTTATTTTAAAGCTGCTGCTGCTGGTTTTAACAAAGCTGCAGGCGTCCGTTTGTCAGGTTTATTATTCAGAGATGTTTTTGGGTGAATGAAGAAATGATGGTTAAATCTTCCAGCAGACATGATCTGGTTTCTGTCAAAGACTGTTGGAGGAAATCTTTCACATAATCAGGTTTACTGATTTAAAGCTGAAGAAAAAGACACAGCTCCACAAACCTCTTCTGTCTTCCTCATTAAAGTAAAACATGTAACCGTACACATCCTGAACTGAACTTTCTTCCTCACCAAACCACTTGGCTCATCTTAGAACACACTGGATTCAAACTTGACAGAAACAACAAACTCACCAAACCGTCTCAGTTAGTCTTCCCACTGTTCCAACAGTGACCGGCTCTGGTTTGGTGGACAAAAACCTCTTAATTCAGAGAGTTAGGTGTGAAAATATTCTGCCTCCCTCTCGCTCCTCTGCTGAAAATGTTTCTGGTAAAAAAACAAAAAACAAACATTTTCTGGTTTATTTATTTTATTTTGGAAACAACTTGTGTTTTTCCTTCAAAAGGAGACTTGTGCTTCCACCTTTGTGTCTCTGCTGGACTGTGGCAATGTCATTTTCATTCATGCATTCACTCAAAGCCTACGCTGTCTGCCATGGAGCGTTATGATGCCAAAGAGTGAGAGCTCCTGGATTGAACGTGTTGACAAAGAACAGACTAACAGGACACTCGCTGTTCATGACCAACAGGTGGCAGTGACGTACCTCACTCAACTCCGACAACACCACATCCCCCTTTCTGTGTGCCGGACAGGGAGGCAGCTAACTCATCCACCTCCTCAGACTTATAAAACTGTGCGTATGCACATCTGTCAGCAGGTCCCCTTTATAAATCACATCAGTTTGAAATGTGGCCCCTGTGAGGGAGCTCCATGTCCGGCCCTCCAAACGCCCACAGCTGCCTGTAAACGCTCAGTGAAGCTCGTTAATATTAATCCGTCCTGACTGCAGGAAGAAAAGGAGGCAGACTCTGAATCTAACTCAGGGACACTGACGTTCCTTTTCCTGAAGCTGTTTGGTGGGTAAAAAATACACTTTCACCAACGCTTGTGCCCCGGAGGAGAGGGGGCCCCGGAGCTCCGCCCCTTTATAACCGACCTGCAGGAAGGGGCCTCCCTCTGAGTAGTGAGGTCGCTGGCTGGAGGGGGCCACACAGACGGGACGACCCAGGTACTGATCTGGAGTCCCCCGTTTGAGGCCCCGTGTCCTCCAAGTGTTTTTTACCAGCTGCTCTTCTGAAAACGCACAGCAGGGAGCGCTAGCGGGTGTTTTTGAGGCGCAGCGTTTTTTCCTCCTGCTTTGGTTGCTACGATACATAAAATCCGTGGTTGCAAGTAGTTCTACCGAACTTTACTGGGTGTAAAAATGTCAACACAGAGTAGAGTCCTTGCTCTGTATGAAGAGAAAGCTGAAGCAGGCAGAGAGAGAGGGCGAGGAAACATCTCGGCAAGTACCACCGTTTGGTCCAAGAGGACGAAGCCTGGTTCCAGAATAGTAACCGTTGCTACCGTGTGGTATTTGTCCCGCCTCTCCTGCACTGTGATTGGACAGCCGGGTAAAAAGTGACAGTGACGAGAGCAGCATTTTTCCAAACATTTTTCAACTCTCAGCATTCCGGCTGCCGTTTTTATCAGCATGTAAAAATGCGGCGTTCCCATTGGAATGAACTGAAAAAAGACGCTGGTGTCAGAAAAAAACACTTTGGTGGACACAGGTCCTAAGGTGTTTTTAGCAGCAGCGCGTCACGTCCACACGCCGGCGCTCTCGCTGGAAACGGCATCAGTTAAATGATGTTTTTATTGCGCACTTCAACCAATCAAACGGCTGTTTGTTTCTTCAGAAAGACTTTAAGCCTGGAATACTCAGAGGGGATATCTGGATTCATTTCAGATACTTTCATCCTTCTGCCATGTGAGGCGCCGTTTCAATTCTCTCCTCTTTATGTGGTTCAGAGTTTACTTACAGGACGCACATTAGATCCCAACCTTTGCTGGGGAAGTGGCGTTCGCACGTTTCCAGCCCTGTTTTGTACAGACGCACTGTTTAGAAACGAGGCCCCAGGGTGCTGCGGAAGACCTCAGGTGGACAGCCTGGAGGCAGGACTGAGGCGGAGCTGGAGAAGTCTTGAGCAGCTCGGGAGCAACCAGTAATTTAGCAGTGGGAGCTGCAGCTCAGCAGGGTCAGGGCAGACGGGCGGGCTGGCTTACACGCTCAGGATGAAAAAGTTTATAAAGCCGGGAACATGTCATCCCTCTGGCAAACTCTGGGCCCTGCTCCCAGTAAAGAACCAGGAACAGGAGGAAGTCGGGCTCTGCACAAAACTCCTCCCGTGTTACTTGGAAAATGGCAACCTGGATAGAGAGAGTTAAAGTAGTTCAAGTTTGTAACATGTTGGATTGAAAATGAATATTATTATTAATGTTCACTAAACAGTTACAACAGAAGCTCAACAGATGTTTTATCACCTGATAATTATTCTTAATGAGACTGATATTGATGTTTTTATCAAAGATCCAGAAAAATACGTTGCATCATTTAAATTTTTATCAGATAGAAACCATCAAAATAAAATGATGTTGCATTGTTAGTAAGCAGCAGTTAGCAGACCCACATCCGTTTAGATAATTGAATGTCTTTGTTAGTGAAATTTCTCCTCTCAGCTCCTGAATGTTGCTTTTTACTGCCATCTGACTGGAACTGTGAAGCGTTACCTTTACAAAGCCTTCATCTCCTCAGCAGTGAGACTCAGCGAGCTCAGCCTGCAGCTTTTAAAATGTTTTGATGGAAACACATTTCAGGAGATGACCCTGATTAAGTGGACTTCCCTTTCAGCCCGACCGCGTCTCATATTTACACGTGAGCGTTTCTAATGTTT